TGTATCTTAGCACAGACTAATAACTATATAGCACCAGCAGCTGGCTTTTAAGATTAAGGAATTAACATGCTTCTAACTCAGTTGGGATTTCTGAAAGCTGTTGTATTCTGGAATTGGAGATCAGTTGTTCTAAAATGAAAATATTGGGGATTTGAGCATGTTCATACAGGAATTTAGTATTAGTCTAGAGAAAAAAGTTCATTTCTTCCAAAATGAAGTTAAGTTACAATTGGGGTTTGATGGGAGAATCACTTGGATAACACTTATACTATTAAAACCATAATTAGGTGATTCAGTGGTGCACCCATCATAAGGATGATCCACCTCCTCCTGAGGATGATGAGAACAAAGAAAAGAGAACAGATGACATCCCTGTGTGGGATCAAGAGTTTCTGAAAGTAGACCAAGGAACACTTTTTGAACTTATCCTGGTGAGTGTCCTCAGGAAAGCTGTGCCTGTGAAGCTCTGCTATGCACTTGAGAAATAAAGCCTTTATACTTCTTGAGTTACTACTTCATTGGAAGGGGGGATGTGGGGAGGGCAGGTGGTTCTGGTAAGTACTGGCTGAAATTGCTGAGGATGTTAGAATGCTTGTTAGTTTAATTCTGACATTAATCTGTACTCACTCATCAATCAGTATACTTAAAAAAAGTATACTGATTGATGAGTGAGTATAGATTAATGCCAGAATTAAGTAGCACTGTCTTTTTTGTGGTTCTCAAGTCCAAGTTGAGAGCTTATTATTAGTTACAGAGTTCTGGAACTCTGCATAAAAATTAAAATCTAACTTTGTAAATTTTTACCTGTGAGCCAACATTACCTGCCTTGGCTAGTTAACAGTACTGCCACACTGAAAGTCTTGGATGTTTGCAGACTTCTGAAAGCTATTTGTAAAAGGCAGAGCAGGAGGAGTGTTTTTCATGGTACAAAACCTTGTTTGCCAAGCAAGTTTTAGGTACTGTCCCTTGAGGGTTCTAGCTAGAAGCTTCTCAAAGTGGAGATGATCTGTTTGCATACATATTCTAAAATTTCAGAGTAAACTTAACTCTGATAGTGCATCTACAGAGGCAGAATATTGATATGGAAGCTTTAAATCTGAAAACTCTTTTACAGGCTGCAAATTACTTGGACATCAAAGGTTTGCTGGATGTCACATGCAAGACAGTGGCAAACATGATCAAGGGGAAAACTCCAGAAGAAATTCGCAAGACATTCAATATTAAGAATGACTTCACTGAAGAGGAAGAAGCACAGGTACTTGGTCTAAGTTTAATTATAATTTAGCTGGCTGTTTGTGCTGTGGTGCTTCATAAATCAATTTGTTCTACTGTGTGGTGCTTTGTAACTCAATTTGTGATGCAACAGACTTGTTACCAAGAAACATTACCAAGCATCAGCTCCTCATAATTGGGGTGCTACTAGCAGAAGACTTTTTGGTGTCTACCACACTTGCATCCCATTACCTGAAAAGGTCAAAACAAAGTGTATTGATTTTTCTAGCTCCAACATGTCTGGTAAGAAAGCACGTAGGACTGTGTGACAGTTTGATGGTTTGGGTTTGTAGTAGGAATGCTGAAGATGTATTGCTGCATATGGCTGGAAAGGTAAGTTCAGGTTCTCTAAGTAAAAACTCATTGATCTTAAAACTTGACTAACTAACCAACTACAAAAATGGCTTTGGAGTTGGGAAAAAGCAGAACAAGATGCCTGGTTTCAATACAAGGGAATGAGTTCTGGACTTGGGTATTTTTCGATGCTGTGTCCTGAAACAAACAGCTTAGACTTAAGATATTCCATTTATTTCTCCTTTACTTGGTTGGAGAATTTCAGATATGATCAAACCTAGGTATGAAAAACCTGTCTTACGTTGAAAAACAGGCCAGTTTAGAAGACAGACTTTATAATTGCAAAATCTGTGTGAAAAATTAAAGCTGCTCCAAGTTTGTCTCCCTGCAGTGAATAATCCTGGATGCCTATCGATCTTTACAGTTTAGAATTTCACTGCAACATACTAACAGTTAAAATGCTCTTCCAGGTACGTAAAGAGAACCAGTGGTGCGAAGAGAAATGAAGTATTGTGCCTGACACTCGAACACTGTAAGGATTGTTCCAAATACTAGTTGCACTGCCCTGTTCATAATTGTTAATATTAGACAAATGCAGCAGCAAATGAAGTTGTGTTAGCAGGATGTTGTTCCCTTTGCATGTGTAGTGTTTTTTTTGAGTACAGATCTAAATCTGAGTTTTTACTAGTGTAATTTGATGTCTTTTTACTTTGCAATGAATAAAACTGAACTAAGTGTGGATTCTGTATGGGAAGTAGCACTTAAGGATTCTGTATGGGAAGTAGCACTCATTTGCATTACTTTTAAACTGTTGAAGTCCAGTTATAGTGCTAAGGATTGACTCTGTTGTAAATAAAAACATCTATGACTTCTTCATCAAGATGGGCAAAACACAGGGTATTGATAACTTCAGAAAGAAAAACAAACCAGAATGTGTCTTGGGGAACTAAATAATGTAAAAAAGTTACTGGATTTCTTACAAAAACATTGTGGAAAAAAGTTAGTGTTACTTAAAGCTATATAATTTTCAAGATGGTTCTTGTCCTGCATTTAAAAAACAATTAAATATTTGACCACTTTCTTGTTCTTTTAGTCTTGCCTTATAGACTAGTGAAAATGTGATTTAGAACTAAACAAGCTCCTGACATTTAAATTTGAATACTTCAGCCATGTCTTGAAGACCTGCCTCTAGGTGATAGCAAATAAAGTGTGTTGCTTTATGCACAGGATGGGTGTGTTTTTATACATGTTACTGTTTAAAGTGGAATCCAGATTTGACCAAAAATGACTGACATTACCAAAGTAAATATTATTGATCTGTGCATGCCATTAGTGGCTGGTTTTTAGGCAGTTTTAAAGACCCTTGTGATGTAGCTCTTGGAAACATGGTTTCATGTGTCCACAGGAAATCTTAAGCCTCTGTGATACTTCAGCTTTTAGGGACTTAATTATTGCATACAAAGCTAATGCAATATCAATCTTAACTTCTTTGGACAAAGCCACTTGCAACTAGTTAGACAGTAACTGGTTTTCTCATTTTTATTTTTTTTTTTTTTTACAGTTCCCTTATAGGGAGTAGGGGATGGTTGTGTGGTAGATCTTTGAGGTGTGCTCTTAGCTTGTATTGCATTCCATTCTCTGTATAAACCTTAGAGTAGAATGAACCTTAATAAACATACTTATCTCACTTGAAATATTGGTGTTTCACTTCTGAATTAATAAAGGGCTTTTAAACTTTTGTTTGCAAATGGTTCTAGTTATTTGGAACTAGATAATTTTACTGTCACTAATTACTGAGTGTAGAAATAATAGCACTGAGGCAGTGGTTTATTGAAATAAAACAGATGTAGAGTTTTTTTTTTTAAAGACTAATACAGGGTACGAGTCAGACACAGTGGGCAACTTTGAGATGATGTTGGGTGATGGTTAAATTTAGAGAGAGATTTTTTTGATGGCTTACCAAGATTTACCTAAATTTTGGATGTAGCCATTATGAAAGCATTCAGAATTTCCTCTAAAGCAGCCTTTCAACCCATGCTTTGGATACTGCTCCTCATATCTGGTTGCTCAGGAGGTTGCAGGGCCTGCCTTTGTGCTGCTGTGCATTATACTGGGAGTATCAGACATTGTCAGTGGGCATAAAGTACTTCACTGCTATGCTTGGGCATGCTGAAGCCTTTCTAGCAGCCTGTATTGAAAACAATGCACATCAGTTCAAAAGTGCTACTAGAGGAAAACGTGATGTCATTTCTGTGGCTATGTTTGTAGTTAATATTCAACTTAGGCTGGATTCTTACAAGAAATAAATCCATCTCTGTGCAGTGTTCCACAGTATACTTGTTTCCCCCTCGAGTGCTGTGGCTAATGCAGAAGCCTGGTGTAATTGTGTTTGGTGGCAGCAGCCCGTGTAAATTCCTTTGGGTGCTTGTCATGAGCCCAGTGTCAATGTCTGTCAGCAGATACTGCCTTGCATGATGCCTTGTGCTGCTTTAGCGTGGGGGAGAAATGAAGACAGTTTATCTTCCTCATTGCACTGCTCCAACTGTGCTGTGCCTGCATAACCACACCTGAGATAATAGTGAGAGCAGCTGGCCCAAAACCTGAGCTGTGCTGGTCAAATATGCAGTGCTGGAGCCTCTGCTGAAGCTCCAGGTTGTGACACTTTAGCTGTTGGCACCTGTGGAGGTGTAGGGGAGGTCTGGTCTCTGTGCTCAAGGTGTTGTGTAGCTTTGGCAGATTTGTAATACTCTCACTAGTTTTGGTAGTTACGATTGCATACAACTTACTTTCTCTAATTGAAATTTCCCTGTAGTACTGACTCAGACTTCAGCCAGATGCAAATTCTGTAGCTGCCTGGCAGGGATGTCAGCAGGAAAAGACTTTTTTTTTTTTTTTTAATCTCTCAAGTTATCTTACCCATTGCAGTAATACTGGTGCTCAGCTGTAGAGAAGGACACTGGGGAGATGCTGAGAGTTTGGGCTGTCATGTGGCTGCTGTGTGTGTTCCATGCTTCAGCTGAACCTGCTCCTTGCTGCTGTAACAGGCACTGGCTGTGTACTCTGAAATTCCAGAAAGCAGGAGAGACTGATTTCCCACTGTTAAACTTTCTGTTGCTGTTTAACTTGTATGGTGCTACCCTAACTTTTTTTTTTCCCCAAGTTCAGTGCATGATCAGGCTTCTCTTGGATAAAGGGATTAGGTGTGGGGGCAGAGGGGAGAGAAGGCTAGGTGTTAGTAGGAATTGTACAAAAACTATTTTTTGTATACCTTGGCTTACTATCTCAGTCTTACCCATTGAAGGTTAATGGCGGTTATTCTAAAAACTATTCAAACATACAAATGCTGAAGGGAAAAAACAAAAGCAAGCAAGAATCCTCTTGAATGCTGAGAAATAGTTACTTGAGAGTTTGATAGCATTATAATGTCCAGTGGCCTCTTTGAACAGCCAGTCTGGCAATTACTTTATTTATAAAGCTATAAACATACTTTGAACATAGAAGCCAAAAAATACAAACTCAGTGAAGTAAAAAAATTACAACAAATGATGGATAGTCATTGGACAAATGAAGGTACAGCTGCAAAACATTTATCCCTGCTACATACATACATTGGTTTTACTTGTTTTAATGAAGTGGTACTTCCATGATTTCTACATTCATACTGATTCCAGGAATTCAAATATGTACTTCAGGAAGAGTTAAAACTGCTGTAAAATAACTAGGAAAAAAAAAATCTTGTTGAGATAAAAACTTCAGGGCAAAGTCTTCCTTCTGTTAAAAAAGAATATTAACACAAAATAGCAACACTTGATATGGCAGGTCTAAAGACACTTTTTTTGGTATTAATACCTTTGTTTTGGCATTAGTTATCAGCTGTGGGGCCATGGAACAGAAGTCAGTCGTGCTGTTTTGTCTTGGAAAGGGGCAGCCTAAAGATATCTTTTCTGTGTTTTGGAATAAAAATAATGGAATTTTCTCAGTTACCCCAGTATAAACTGAGTATAGTATATGACAAGTGGATATTCTGAATTTATTCTGCAGTAGCTGGAAGCACAGGGTAAAGTCTGGCCATAAACCTGTATGTATAGAGCAGAGCACAGGCAGAACAACACTGTGGGTGTGACTGCTCCAGCTCTGGGGCTCTGAAAATGCTTCTGTGGCATGAGGGCCTGGAGAAGGGCCCCTGGAAAGGAGGTGTTAGGTGTCACTAAGGAGCTTTTGCAGGAATCAGTTGGAATAACAATAGTGGGAGGAGGCTGTAGTGCAGATGAGCCTTTTGCTGGTCGAGGCAGGAACTCACAACACCATGGAGGGGCCAGAGGAGCCTTGAAATAAGTGGGTGAAAGTCCTGGGGCATGAAATGAATGAGGGCTGGTCTGGATGCCTCGGCCAGTTTAATACTGATCAGGACTTTCCCTGAAATTTTCTCTGATGTTATTTAGACACATCTGCTTTTTATTTTCTACCTGCCTTTGCTTTGCTGCTAAGTTACATCTTTCATCCAGCCACACAGTGCCAGTTGGGTGCTGTTACACCAGCCTTGCAGCCAGCATGGGATACACCAGGCTGTGGTGGTTGGTCTGTCATCTGCGGTGTTTCCAGTAGGTGACACTTTTACAGCAGAGAGTCTCAGAGTGATAAATGAAGAGCTGAGACACAGCCATTTTTTAAAGCTGCGTTTTTGTTTGTTTGTTTGAAAATCAAATGATTAAAGAGACCATGTCAGGTCTGGCAAGTCTACTGAGTTCCTCTGTTCAACACTGGAAAATGCTGTTGGCTAAGCTTGCTAAAATAATTTAAAATTAGCAGATTGCATATTGATCTAGTGCTATGTAATTAACCCTCTGAGAGCAGTCAGTACACCAGTGTACAGTTGGCGTTGGATCAGGTAATGCTACTTCTCCAAGGGTTAAAGTGATTCAAACTTCAACATGGCTTTTTGCAAACTTGTCAGGTTTATGCACATAGCTTTCTGTCAGTGCTTCTGAGGCTACATTTACACAGGAGAGGAATAAAGAAATAGGTTGAGATCTTCTAAGCTAAAACCAGAAATAAAAAATCTACACTACTGTAAGCAAAACTATCTAAATAAAGGGACTAAACCCAAAGCTGCTCTACAGACTAGTTAGGTTTGGCTTTTTTTTTTTTTTAATTTTAAATCTTTGAGGCATAAACTTTGTTAAAAAGTTACGTTTAATCCAATGTAAAAAATTATGGTTTGTGTTTTTGCATTAAGAAAAAAATATAAAAATAGTTTGTACATTATAAAGTTCATCTTAAATTTCTTGCAGTTCTACAATAATATTACTATGTACTTTGTATTCAGTACCCATCTATCAAGTAGGAAAAAAATAGTGGCTCCTCTACCTCTGTGTGGTGTCATTTTTCTCTTCAGCAGTCTGGAATATATTTCTTTCGAACAGGAAAAAAAGTCTGCACTGGACTAGATTGTGGTCTCTCAGAAGACTGTAAACCTGAAGTAAATCCAGAACTTGGAATTATTTGGGATTTACATCAGTTCATGGAGATCATAATCCATCCAGTGTTTTTTATCAAACTCAGAATATAAATACAATACCAGAGATTGGTAAACATTTTAAAGCTGAAGAGAATACATTAACATTTGGCATCATCATTGGAATGGAGGGAGAATCTTTTAGAAAAAGCTAGAATAAGTTTTTTTTAAAAGTTCTACACTGAATCATGAAAAAGAGGGTTCTTATCTCGCCAGGGCCCAGATCAGGGTAGTAAGTGCTGCTCTGCTGCCACACTGCCCCGTGATGGGAGAGCTCACACCTCTCCCCATCCGCTCAGACAAAGGATCCACTGGGCCAGCATGGTCCTCAGCCCTGGGCTGGTGTGATCCTGGGCTGCTGGCTCCCCACTTGCCCTTCCCTGCTCCCTGCTCTGGAGGTGCGGAGCTCCATTGCAGCCTACAAAACCAACAGACTGATTTCTGAGGCTTTGGCCAGTTAGTCTGGTGGCATTTCTGACCATCCCCATCTGCAGAGGACAATTCCTAACAGCAGGGCAGACCCTGCACCTGACCAACGCCCTGAGCAACCACCAGCCCTTCCAGCAGCCTTCCAGTCCGTGCTCCTTTGCTCAGCTGGTGCTCCCTTTTCTTCTGCCTTGTACAACCGGGGAATGGGATATGTCTGCACAGAGAGCCGTTACCTTCAAACATCATCCTCCTGTTCTCAAACAAGTTCAAAAAACCTCATTGGTTTAAATATTTAATTTCACTTTTACCTGGTCAGATCAGAATGCTGGCATCACTATGTTTCCTTTTCAGACATACGGGCTTTTAAAAAATACTCCTATTCCAGCTTTTCCAGCTCCGTGGTGTAATGGATATGAGAGATCTGTGAGTGACTACACTTTGAAGTAGCTTGGATGGCAGGGAGTGGAAGCCAAGGTTAGACTGATAGCACCTACCACCTACAGCAGCAAGCTGGGAACGTGGCTCTGCTCTCTGCCACCCTTGGAGATAATGCAGTAAAAAAGAAAACAAAACAAAACAAACCCCCAAACAAACAGTAACAACAGGAAAAAAAAAAAAAGCAAAAAAAAAAAGCATCACAGGGCAGGGACAAAAGGCTTGTTTACTCATCAGCACTTTAAATTTTGGCAAGTACTTATTCTTTTACCTTTTTTTTTTTAAATTGCTTTACTATCTTTATCACCCCTCCCCTCCAAAAAACCCAAACCAAGTGAGTTTTCCATCATCCTTAAGTCATCCTGTCGCCAAACTGTGCATATTTTACAGTGAAGTGGGGATTTGGCTGGGCCTCTGGTCCTCGTCCAGGGGCAGCGGAACCAGGTGGGCGAGCGGAGCGGTGTGGCCAGCGGTGGCGAGGGACTATGTCCCCGAGGAGGCGCGGCTGTAAGCGGGGGGCGCGGCTGGAGCCGGGGAGCGCCGGGCGCCGGGTCTGGAGGGGCCGGAGGCGGGCGGGAGGTGTGCGGACATGGGGCAGGGGTCGGGCTGGTCGCGGTGTGCGGGGTCGGCGGTGGCTGCGAGCTGCTCTGACGGGAAGGCAGAGGGGATGCATCGGAGTGCGTCCGGTGGGGATGGAGGGGAGTCTATAGCACTTCCATCGGAAGAAACTGGGCTGGCACAGCGTCCTTCTCCTTGTAGGTACCGAATGCACTTCTTTTTCCTCCTGGAACAGCGGAGAGAGGCCTCTGTAAGTAACGGGAGAGCCCCCCGGGCACCCCCGCGGATCCGCCGTCCCGTTCTCGCCGCAGGGCCGGGATGGCGCTGCAGCGCTGCGGGGACACCGCCAGGCGGCACCGGCGCGCCGGGAGCGGCGTCCGCGGGAAGGGGCTCGGCCGCAACGGGAGAGGAGCAGTAGAAGGGCATCAAACAGGAGTAAAAACAAAAATGCAGGAATAGAAATGAGAACAGAAAAAAAGGAAAAAAAAAAAAAAAAACCACAACCCCAAAATAATAATAATTATCAAAGCCATGAGATGAAAATAATAATACAAAGTGAGACAATAAAAATTTAAAATAACAATATAAATAATAATAAACACCCCAAACAATTTAAAAGAAAGATCAAAATAATAATAAAAACCCAACCGGTGAGGTCATTCCTCACCAGCCACCACCCCAACTGCTCGAATTCTGCGTGGATGCCTGGATCTCACATGTTCAGGATTAAAGCATTCCCCACCATGAGTCCCCTCCCCACCTGCCACAGAGCCCATGCAGGGCCCAGGGACAGTCATGTGCACTGGTGTCACAGGGCACGTCAGCACCACTGTGCTTAGCAGCAGCACCAGGTTGTGCTCTGCTAGGACACTGCCCTTCACACCAGTCTCGGCTTTTCTCATCCCAAAATCTGAAGGTTCCAAGAGCCATTTCCCAGCACTTTCCTAGCCCTGTGCACAGTATAATCTACCTGGAACCATGGACTGGTTTGGGTTGGAAGGGTCCTTAAAGCTTATCCCATTTCAATGTCCCTGTCACATGCAGGGACATCTCCCACTAGACAGAGGTTGCTCCAAGTATCATCCAACCTGGCCTTAGCTCTCAGCTCTTCTTTTCTACTCTATCTCTGCATCTCAGTGTACTTCCCATTCATCCTCACCTCCAAGGACAACTTAATGGTACAGCTGAGCAGAAATGTGCTCAGCAACCATTCAGGAAAAGGGAAGGAAATGCCCTGGGACTGGCTGAAGGGAGATGGTCTGAGGGTGTCTGAGGTCCTGACTTAAAAGTTGGAATAGTCCTGAGGTCTTCAGAGGACTTCTTACTCCTTGGAGGGCAGATCACCTTTAACTTGCTCACTGAGCTAAGAGAAAATGAGCCTTGACAGAGCTGCCAATTACACTTCAGCCCACAGGGTTCCTGGAGAGGAAATGTTTGCTGTGGCCTCTCCCTTGGGAAGTGGAGTATAGGTACAAAATGCAAGGTGGGCAGTCACTAGGGAGAAAGATTTGCCAGAAGGGTATATGAATAGTCCTGCAGTGGTGACAGACTCATTCTGTGAAATGCTTCTTTTGTGAAATGTGACACAGCTCATCATCTAGGGATGGCTTTACTGACCCAAAGGGGTTTTTACAGGACAGTACCCATTGGGGGCAGCTCCCTCACCCAGTCCTACTCTTCTAGCAAGAAATCTGCTGGGACTGGGAAGGTCCCTAGGGCAGCAGCACCTGCCTTAGGGGGCAAGGACCAGCCTCCCTTCATCCCTCCTGGAAGAAGCATTCAGGTTCCCCACTTGTTTGGATGTTACGATTTGGGGGTATCAAAAATACAAGTCACACATCGTTCTTGCTGTAGCTGGGTTTTGCCATGATTCCTTCACATCCTGTGACAATTCTGTTCAGTATTTATCCTGAGTTCCAGGTATTGTCTTGTACATTCAGATTATTTTAACTACCCCTGGTTGTCCAGAGTCAATCCCTCACACTATCTTGTGTTCACTCTTTGTTGAGCTGCTTTTTCTTCTCTCCACGTGACAGATCCCTCATGCCACCTGCCTTGGGTCCTTGAGCACCTCAGTATAGATCCTCAAACAAAAGAACTCTCAAGACGTCACCTTAATAGTATTGAAGGGACAATTAATCTGCTGGAGCCTTTACAGCTAAAAACAGGTAAAAGAACATCTCTCAGCTGTCTCATTTAAAGAAAATGGATCAAATGGAGAACTCACTAATGCAGGCACACACCTTTCTTTGATCTTCCTAATGAAAAACCAGATAGGGTGAGACTGTGTATTAACTAGTCCAGTATTAAACATGACTTGCACTGGATGTGAACAAGAGCAGTGCTATTACTGCTGTCAGTTCCATCGTTAGCCATGCTGACCCAATTAATGCGATAGGAAACATGACAGTTCAGCTGAACTGAGTATTTAACTCGAGGGTATTTTCCATGGGTAGTAATCCCCCAGAGACAAGCCTGAGGAGGAGCTGTGTTTCCCAGAGACATCTTGGGAGTAGCTGCAGGATAGTTTCAATTACCTGTTTAAGATTACAGGAATGTGCCCATTGATTCATCGGATTTAAAATAACAGGGAGAAAAAAGCACATGTGATACTACAGACTGCTGATAATGGCCCAGTCCATGGGTTATGCTGAGGTGGGTATTACACAGCTAAAGGGGTTTATTCCTCTCTGTTTAAGGGAATTTATCCCTCTCCCTTTGGAAACTACAGCACCTTGGACTGTTTGTCCAGGGTATGGGGGAGGCGTGTGAAAGCTCTAGAGCAGGAACACCCAGTCTTAACGAGTTAACTTCTCCTGTGGCATAGAAATCCTCCTGGGGAAGTCGTTCTCTCTACAGGTGAGCAGAGTACGTTGGACAGGAGCCCCTGAGTGGCAGCAGCACGTTAGTAAGGGAATTGCAGAGCAGCTCTGGCTGACCAGGGCAAGGTTACACAGGGGACACAAGAAGAACATGCCAAGGTTTGGGCACTCCAGCAGCCTGTGTTAATTGGGAAGCCGTGCGAGAAGAAGCTGAGTTCAGAGCTGGAATGGAGGCAGAGGGAAGGTGGAAGAAGTGTCCATGTAAGAATGGGCACTCAGCCTGGTGGCACAGCTGCAGGAGGCATGGGGCGCTCCAGCAGTCCCCTCTGGACAGTCCAGTATTAATGAGACACCATGGGAGCTCTGTCTGAATTCTTAATTAAAAATCAGTGCTTGATGACACTACTCAGGGAGTAAAAAACAATCAGGGTTTGTTGCTGTTGTGGCACACTGAGGTGCAGGAGGGGAGCTCACATGGGGCTCAGCCACAGGGAGTGGGGCCTGGGGTGCAGCAAGGTCTGGGCCAGATTTGAGTTGACTAAGTTATTTTAGTCACATCAAGCAGTACTTTACTTCCACCTTTTTCCTCAATGTATTGGTGTAAAATTGCAAATTGCAGACCTCTGTCCAAGCTGGAGTCTCTCTGCTCTGGCACCCAGATCCAGAAGCTCTTGGGAGCTTTCTCTGCCTGGCTGCCTTTGCAGCCCATCTGAGCCGAGTAGCACTTGGTTGATGGGAACTTTACTATTGCATGGCCAAATCCATCTCTGAGAGCCCGAGGAGCACAGCACTGCTCTGTTTTGCTGCTTGAGGCTGTCCCACCCCACCCATGGTGGATACTGCAAAATTTAAGGCTCAGGAAGAGCTGGATCTTGAAATACATGGTTAGCCCAGTATAAACAGAAGAAAGAAACCCATTAAATCCTCACTGCTGGCCCTAGGGTGCCACTAATGTGATTGGAAAGCACTAATGGAGGGAAAAAAAAACCCCTCATGTCAGGGTCACAGAGGTCTCCATCCTGGAAATAAGCTTCTAAGACCAGGGAAGTCTATCAGCTGAGGAATATGTACAGCACTAAACCAACACTGCCCCAGAAGGGATAAAAATCCCAGAGTACAGCCTGTCCTTTGCAGCTCAGAAAAGTCCTGAGGATGCCCAGATCACACCCCATCCCTGCCTGGATGGAGCAGCCCTCGCTGGTGCCGGGATGGCTGCAGAACAACACCTTGAGCTGAACCCACTGTCCCAGGAACACCCAGCAGTGATGAGATGCCAATACACACCTGCACGGGCCGCACCAGTCCATTTGTTGGTTGAGGCCAAAGCGAGCTCTGCATTTCTTAGGAGAGGCAGGATCTGAACACAGAAGCACAGAAGCACGCGGCGGAGAATGGGCAAGGCAGAGGCACAAAGAGGAGGAGGAGCACGAGGAAGAAAAGAGGCAACATCATTTTAGCCACTTGAACACACGACTAACAGACTACAATCCCATTATTTTCTGCTACAGAATGGCGCTGGCACCACCTGGAAAAAAGTGATTGGTAGGCAAGTATCAGTGATCACTGCTGGCAGCTGGAGGTGGTTTGGGAAACGGCTTTGAGAAAGGTGGACAATTGAAGGGAAATTCACAGCTCTTCAAATTTCTTAAGTCTAGAAAAGCTGCCAAATCCCGGAGGTGACTCCTGTATCTGCATCCTTACCTGCTCCCTGCCTTTCCAGCAGCACTATGCAGGCTGCCAGCAAGCTCGGACTATGCACGGAGGAAAGAGGAGGAAATGTTGCAGAAGCAGGCTGAAAGCAGAGTTAGCACCAAGGAGACCTAGGCCCAGGTATTCCACTCTGCCCCCATCATACCCCTTCCAGTTTTAATGGAAAATCTGTTCTCCATGGCCTTTCCTAAACCATTGCTGTTTTACTGTATAATTACAGGACTCATTAGGGTGAAGCCCAGTTTGATTTCAGGCACATCATGTTTTTCTCTGGTGTTGTAAGTGAGATTGGAACAGCACAATTCTGTTCTGGATTCAGCCTCTCTCTTTGAACCACCATCAATGTCTTGTTGCGTACAACCAGTAGTTAGTTCTCAGTCTGTAACAGGTGAAATTATCATTTTTGCATCACACAGACAAGACATATATATGGATATATAAAAATATACAATGCACTCTACATAAATGCCTAAAAGCTTGTATTTCTCTTATCAGACTTGGCACTGAATGAGATCAACAGTGTTAATTAAACTGAAGGTATTACTGGGATGCATCTCTTGATAATGATTCCCTTTTAAATGAATGCTTATTGGTACAGATAATATTTATTCCTGATATGGCTGAAATGCTTCAGAAATCAGCACATGAATAGACTTGGATGATGGGAATGTGCCTGTGACCAGCTGAAATCTGTCAAAGTGGCCTTTTCTAATCGGCAGGGTGGAACAGGGAGGTGGCGTTTAGTACGACTGCTTCAACTCCACATTACTTTGAAATGACAACCAAACCTGGAGTAGTCCCATGAGTGATCTTCAGTCCAACCACTACATTTCATACCACACACAATATGGATGTATTTGAGAGGAGTTTTCTTTAGTTAATAACATCTGTAGGTCTGATAGTTTATATGAAGTTATACATTTGCCAAAATCCAATCTTTTCAGTTTTCACATACTACCCATGTTCTAAATCCAACATGTCTATTAAAAAGTCACAGAAATGTTAATTTACCATAGCTTAAAAAAATAAAGAGTGTGTATTTCTCTAGTTAAGCTCAGGAGAATAAAAGAAAATACAACAACTGCTTTGGATTCTCCCATCTGAGCAGGAAAGCAGGAACAGCTGCCAGGCTGCACGCACTTACCTGAGTTGGAATCTTGCTGCTTTTCCCGTGTTCGTCTCTTCTTTTTCCCCTAGGAAACCAAAGGAAAAGCTGTTACCTGTGCTCCAGAAAACTGAGGATGCTGTGCAGGGCTTTTGGGGCTGGACTAGATCCTGGGGATGGCTGCTGCCTCCCAGGTAAAATCTGGTAAGAGCCATGGTGCTGCTGGCTCAGCCCATTCCAGGAGGAGACAAACTAGGAAAGGCTGCAAAGGGACTATTCAGATTTATCTGTGAGGGTGTCCCCTTCCTTTCCCTTCTTCCCATTCCAACGCTCCTAAGAAGAAACCCAAGAGGAACTCTCAGAGTGAAACCCAAATGTGTTTTTGCACACTTGCTATGGCTTTTGCACAGCACAAATTCATTTGGGCTTGTGCCTTTTCTCAGGGATTAACCCTCATTTCCAATACCCCCAGATCCAGCACCACAGGCATTTTGGCTCAGCACTTCGCATGAGATCTGTGCGTATTTAGAAACTGCAATAAACTCAAGAGGCAGTGGCAGCCGTGTCCCCACTCCTACCCCCATGTCTGCTCCATCTTCTTCCCAACACACTGCTCCATCCTCTGGTTTTTGAGTCCAGGACTACGCTGCAAACACATCTAAGACCCGGATTTATGCTGCAGGCTGTGTCAGAAAGTGTAAGGGAAAATGTTAGTGGATGTAAACCAGCTGAAATAAAGCCAGTGCCTGTGCCTGTGCTGCTCAGCACCTGTGCCAGCTCTCACCAAAACTCCTCAAAACTCTGATGCATCTCACCTGGGGATCCTACCCATTATTGCTTTAATTAATGAAGTGAAAATTTAATTAATAAGTTTAATGACATTAATAGAATGAAACAAGATTTCCTGCGTGCAGTGGAGAGAGTATGATTAATAGCTGATGTGCTCCTGTCATATTCTTATTTCTCCTCCTTATGTTTCTAAAAAGCACTTGATCCATTTTAGAACCTTTCCTATTTCCAAAATGTGCTTTAATGTGGTGCTTGATATTCCCTGACTCCAAATGGGAAAGAAAGTTTTAGGAAATCCCCAGAAATTTATTTTTCAATAATACTAATCTATTTCAGTGCTTTTGCGATTCTGGACCCATCTCTCATTCTTATTTCACTAATAAAAAAGTCCTATTTTATCCCCAAACTGCCTCTCTGATTCACAAGATGCAGCAGCTCCCCTTGTCCCCTAATAATGCCCCTGTTTAATGAGGGCACAGCAGCATGGGGGCAAATCTGGTTGTGTGGTACAGGCAGCTCCCAGGGCTGCCTTTGACCTGTGACTTCTTATATGACTTCTTGTGGTTTGAGGAAGGTGGAAAGCTGAGCTGCAGTAAGCTTTTTCTTCAGTGGGGGAGCAACTGTATTTCCTGCCTGATATCTGCAGCATGTGCTGCACAGGAGACCTACTTTCCTCCTCCTCCTCAACCCTGCTCAACTTTGGAGAGAAAAGCATCTCTACCAACAACCTCAACACCCAAACCAGCTAGTTTACAGTGCTGGGAGGACCAATATGCACTTTTGGAGCATGCCATCTATCTTCTGTAGAAAGGAACCAGCCCTTGGTTCCCCAAGGAACCAGATAAAAATGATACAGGACTGGGATTTCCATGGAGGATGTGCTTGCTCTTGGAGGAAGACGGTGCCATGCTCTCAGCAATGCTGGTGCCCTCCAGATGTGTGCCCATCAAAGTGTGGGCTGGGGGCTTCCCATCACATCTGCTGTTTCTGAATTATCTCTGCCCTCTGTTTTTGGGGGGAGTTTGGGGTAGTTTGGGTCTGTTTACGGGTGTTGCCTTGCCCTTGGTGGAGTTTTGTCATTCTGGAAGGATGAGGGCTGGAGTCAGTGCGGGAAGGAAGGGCACTCACTGCGCAGTTCCCAGGGGTAAGAAAGTATCTATGAGGGAAATGATGGAGATATGTGGATGGACAGACATCTGAAGACTTATATATGCTTTGCTTCAGTTCACTAATGAGCTTGTTAGACATTTAATATCAAAACAGTCATGAAAGTCACAAAAAAAGACCCCTTACAAAAAGAGCCACTATTTTAAATCCCAGAATCATAGAATTATTTGGGTTGAAAGGAACCTCAAACACATCCTGTTCTAACACCCTGACAAGAGCAGGGACACTTTCCACTAGACCTGGTTGCTCCAAGCCCTGTCCAACTTGACCTTGAACACTCCCAGAGATGGGGCAGCCACAGCTGCTCTGGGCAACCTGTGCCAGGGCCTCACCACCCCCACAGATACCTCAGCTGCTGTCCAAGATGCACAGAGCAGTTTGCTTCCATAAAATTGTATTTCCAAAGATATATCCACAGCACTTAAAAGCTTTCCTTCCTATTTCTATTTGCTTGGACAATAAGCAAATAAATGCTTGTGGTTGCTGGGGGCTGTATCGTTCATGCTTTGGACAGGCAATAAGCCAATAGGGTGTTCAAAATACTCCTGAAATGTGAATTTCCATGGCTCTTGTGCTGCCAGGAAAGGCACTGCCAGGACCAGGTGTTTGATAAACACCAGCCAGCCCCCCAGGCCATTGTGGGCCATGCCATAGGGTGGGGGTCTGAGTACGGTGGCACTCACGTAGTTGTCTCTGGCAGACCAGCCGGGGTAGAGCTGCATGTGGAGCTGCCGTTCCTTGCGAGCCAGTTCGTAGTACTTGGCTTGTTCCTCGCGGGACAGCGCGTGCCACTGCAAGGACAAACAGCAGTGAAGCATGGCTCTGCTGTCCCAGCCCAGCCCACCGAGGCCACCCCGCCCAGGGCACATCCAGCCCCCTGTGTTTATGGGATAAGAGTACCCAGATTTGAAGCAGGTGCTTGTTATGTACCTGAGAGCAGCTGCAAGGGACAGGGATGTGGCACTAGGTGATGACACTGGGCCCCATGAGCTCTTACCCTCCTTCCCAAGATCTGGTTGATGGCAGCACTCTCTTTCAGGGTGCACTCAGCGATGACTTTTGCCCGCATTTCTTTCATATACAACATGAAAGCGTTCAGGGGCTTCTTAATAGTGGGCTTCTTGGCTTCCTTCTCTCTCTTTGGTTCTGGTTGAGGTTTCCTTGGTGGGACAAAAGGAGGGGCTGTCAGCATCAGAGCCACCAGGAGACTTGACCCCAAAACAACCCAACAGCACGAGCAGGTGGGGGGGGCCTGAGATTTGCTCCTCAGATGCACAGCTCCATGTTTATCCATCCTCCTGCCATTTGAGCACTGGGAGTGATAAATGAAATGGGTGTTGAGCTGCTGATGCTGCTGAGCCAGCACTTCCCACTCACATGTTTCGGTCGTAGTGCTCCATCTCTTGCTTGCCGGAGTGGGGCACGATGGCGGGGTGCGGGATGCCCGTGGTGTGCATGCCAGAGCCCAGCATCAGTGGGTGGGTGAACCTGCAACAGAGAGCGGGTGAGCCGTGCCGGGAGGGCTGTGCCGGGCTGGGGACACTGCGGGTGCCGAGCAGCCAGGGCGGCGTCCCTCGGAGTGCGCTCTGCTGTGCGGAAGCAGATGGAAGCAAGGACATGGAAAGCACGCAGGAGCTGCCAGGCTGGCCGGGAGCAGGCAGTGCCCACCACCCTTGGTCACCCTTGTGGCACGGCTGGTGAAGCCCTGGGCGTGTGGATGGAAAGGATCCGGTGCCACAGTGAGGGAACCCGCCTGCAACAGGAACCAGCCTGGCCAAGATCAAGGGCACTTTCACCCAGCAGTTTCAGCTACTCAGATCTCTGTTGTTGCAGTATCTCATTAGCACTGCAGAAAGGAACAACAAACTCAACCTGGGGTTTGGATGGGAGAGATTAGGACCACCCCGCATCTTTCTTTTAACAGAAATAGTCTAAGTCTGAACATGAACCCAAGTGCAACTCTAGGAGGTGCACCTTGCCTAAGCAATGCTCTCCCACAATATGGGCTGAGATCACGAGAGGTCTCATTAGCTCTCAGGCTTCATTAGCTCTCTTCGGAGTTTTGGAGGATAAAGCCAGCAAAGTCAGCTTTGCCAAGCTTGCCACTTTATGACTGCAGCTTGAGATGGCAGAATTGCCCATGGGAGATGAACTGTTCATTAGATATGCTGGCACGAAAAGAAAAGCTATTTAATTTAATACTCCAGCACAGTCTGATCCTTATCTGACCAGGTGTACTTTCTCGGCTGCAGCAGTGCTGCAAAATCCAGCCCAAAATCCTGCAGCAGGAGCTCAGGAAGGCTACTGGGGCTCCACAGGGAACCATTAGCTCTGTTTGCCTTCACTTTTGAGGCTGTGCACGAGTGATACCTTGCGAGAAAGGAGGGCTGGCAGCACTCCCTCCCCTCTTCTGCAGAGCTAAGGGGCTCCATGGATCAAGGGATGCATGGATCAAGTGTTGTATGGATTGAGGGTTGCATTGATCCAGGTTTCTGCATGGCTAAGCGTTTGCAGAGCAAGGGTTTGTATGGTCTTCCTGTGGGAAATCTCCACTAACAGCTCTTCAGGACAACATGAAGCCGAAGCAAAAGCTGGTGTGGCCCTGGCATCCCTATGGAGCCACAAGGGCTTTGGCCAGCAGCACACCTGGAAGAGCTGGGCTCTGTGATTCCCATCCACAGGGAATGCATTTTGCTCACCTGAAGGCAGAAGCTGTATTTACATCTCACAGAAATTACTTGTGCTGATGGGAGGGCAGCAAATCACTGCCCCCTCCTGCCCTGCTTTTAAAGCTGAGACAAATAAACCAGATCCATCTCTGCAGAGCAAAGCGGTGACGGCAGCAGGGACACAACAGGATTAGGGAAGTGACACGGAGAAAAATCCTGAGCCATGGATTCCACCCCATTTTCCCAATGCTGAGCTGAAGGCTGGAGTTTTTGACTCTCTTTAGAGCTCTGCTGAATAAAACCCAACCGCTGTGCATCCTTTATCCTCAACATTCCCCTGAGCACCCTTTGAACCAGACACTGCTTCAAAGTGCCTTCTCTTCCCACGGCTGCCCTGGGCAGGGTGTGTGGCTGTCCCTGGGTGGCTGTGGTCTGCTGCAAGCTCCTGCTGCACAAACTGCAAGCTGCGTGACCAGCCGAGCTGCCCTGTCTCACACAGCTCATACTCACCTGGAGAAAGAAGCCCCAGCAGAAAGCGCTGACGAATACGGCTGTCTAAATCCACATGACGGGAGCGGATAGACAGACTGGCTCTGCCTGGGATCAGGAAGAAAGAGTCTATAAAGTATCCACAGCTACGTGGTATTTCCTAAAGATACCCTTTTCTAATGGGGCTCAGCACTGATGCCCCTGTTGGGCAGACACTCGGTGTCCCTTAGGCTTGAGGGGCAGTGTGGGCTTTGGATGTTATTTTGAGAGAACCTGGGCCTTCCTAAAAGCTTGGATACAATTCTGACCCCCTTCTGCCCCTGGTACTAACACTGCTGCTTTGAGTTTACCTGGTAACAATGCAAAGTGCAGAGGCATGCTGAAAAATCAGGAGCATGCTGAAAAATCAGGAGATGTTGCTATAGCACAGAAGAAGTTGCACAAAAGAGCACAGTGGGACCAAAAAACAAAAATTAAAGCCTGCTGAGAATCTCTGTGTGGTGCACAAGAAGCTGCACCAGGAGGATAAATATGAGGAAACTTCCTTACTGTGCAGTGACCAAGCACTGGAACAGGTGATCCAGAGAGGGTGTGGAGCCTCCCTTACTGGAGATATCCCAGGACTGTCTGGATGCAACCCTGGGCCGTGTGCTCTGGAACAGCTCTGCTTGAGCAGGGAGGTTAGACCAGATGACCACTGTGGTCACTTCCAACTTCATCTACTTTGTGATGTTCCCAAGCACAGGAGACTCCCACAGTCCGGAGAGAAAGTACATACCCTGCCTTTGTGCCTCAGGAACGCTCTGGTTTCCCCAGCACATCCTTTTAAGGACACCTATCAGTTTTAAAGAAGACAAAAGCTCAGTCCTGCGTTCTTTTTGAAAGTTGTTTCATACTGGGGACCCGGCATGTATCAGACCTGGGGCTGGAAATTATTTTTGAGATAGTAAAATAACTATGCAGGAAGTTCCTTGCTGCTCCCAGCAAGGGAACCCTCACATTTTCATATGGAAATAGCTCAAAAATACCTTGGCTTGTTCTGCAAACCTGCCAAAAGATGATTCTAGCCTAAAACTGCACATGGAAACTGAGATCATAGAATTACAGAATGGTTTAGCTTGGAAGGGACCTTAAAATAAAAGAATGCTTTAGGTTAGAAGGGACCTTAAAGCGTATCTCATTCCAACCCACCCTGCCATGAGCAGGGACATCTTCCACTATACCAGGTTGCTCCAAATGCCATCCCACTAGGCCTTGAACACTTCCAGGAATGGGGCACAATGGGGTGCTTACAACTGTGCTGGTACTCACACTCCTCTGGCCAGGCTGCACAGAGCTGTACCTAAACCCAGGACCAGCTATTTTCAGCTCTAATGATGAAAAAATCCACAAGAAGTCCATTATCATTAAGTATGATGCACTGTGAAGGACCCAAGCTTCTGGATGCCTCAGAGTTTTTGGGGCTAAAAACAAGTTTCTGCCCTGAAGAGGAATAATGACAGCAGGGCAGCAGTCAGACCCCCGAGCTATGCTGGGCAGGAAGAAGACTCCTGTTCCTGCTGCTGTGTGTTGGCTTGACTGAAATCTGTGGGATCTGTCTGCAGGAAAGGCAGCTGGGCTGTTTACACCCTGGCAGGCAGAAGCCCTCTCCAAGCCCTCAGATGTTGGTGGGTATAAACACACCAACAAACAGGCAAGTGCTGCTGCTCACTGGGAAACTGAAACAACTTTTGAAGTTGGAGGCGACTGCCCCAGGGCCGAGAAAACACTTGTAGCTAATCCAGAAGTGACCTGTGTTACTCCAGAGGCCAGGATATTGGTATAGGAATGGAGTTGGGCACTTGCAGCTTCATCTGAAGTCCCTCTGACATGTGAATTAAAGCAACTGCAAAATCAGTCCCTGATGGTTGGGAGTGCACGATTACAGCCCGTATCACGGAATTACTGGTTTGGGTTGGAAGGGACCTTAAAGTTTGTCTCATTCCAAGCTCCTGCCAGGGGCAGGGATACCTTTCACTAGATCCAGATGCTCCAAGCCCTGTCTGACCTGATCATCAACACCTCCAGGGATGGGGCAGCTGCAGTGTCTCTGGGCAACCTGTGCCAGGGCCTCGCTACCCTCTGTTGTAAAAGAACTTTTTCCTAACATCTGACCTAACTCTCCTCTTTTAATTCAAAACTGTTCCCCCTTGTCCTATCACTATCTGCCCATATAACAAGTCCATCTCCCTCTTTTTTATAAACTCCTTTTAGATGTGGGAAGGGGCTCTGAGGCCTCCCTGGAAACCTCTCCATGCTGAACATCCCAGCTCTCTCAGCCTGTTTCCAGAGGATCAGCTGGTGATGGGAGGGTGGCTCAGAATACAGGCTGTGGGATGGTGGAGGAGAGGCTGCCATGGCACCACTGCTTGGCCCCGGGCACAGGTGAGTGACACAATTTGCAGGTTCCTGGCTAATGTTAACTGCCAGGCTCCCAGAAGCAAAACTCACTTGACTGGACTTTTGAAAGCTTTTATCTGACTGTCATCCCTGCTTAATTACAGAGAGTGATTGCAGCTCCTCCTCCTGAAACGCTCAGTGAGAACAAAACCAGTTTCTGCCTAGCTCCTGCTGCCAGCTTGTGGAGGAAAAGTAGCTTCCCATGTGTAGCTGCCCTGGCCTGGCAGCTGACTTGGTGGAACCAGCACAACCACGGAATCCTGTAATGGTTTGGGTTGGGAGGAACTTTAAAGATTATCCAGTTCCAATCCCCGGCTGTGTGCAGGGACACCTTCCTCTAGACCAGGCTGCTCAAGATCCTGGCCTTGAACACTTCCAGGGATGGGGCAGCCACAGCTTCTCTGGGATACATCCCTGGCATGATCATCCCCAGCACATCCATCCCTGGCACACAGCTCCTGCTGCCTGCTGCTGCCATGAACTTCAGTGCTTCTGCACCCATCCACAGTGGTGTGCTGAGCCTCAGCTGAGGACTGGGCACTCCACAAGTGGGTTTGGGGCTCTTTCTGTACATTTTGGGCAAGGAAAAGAATGAGCAAAAGCTCTATTAGACACACGTGCCTCAAGGTGCTCTGCTCTGCATGTCAGGCCGTTTGTTGCTTTACTGTATCTGCTCTATTAGCCATTAATGAAGGCATCTGATGAGGCTGCAGGAGGCTGCCAAACCCTACCAATGCTGGAGCAGCTCTCAGCCAGGAAAGCTCTCTCTACCACCAACTGCTCCACAAAATCTCCATAAAAAACCAGACTGCTCTCCCTTCATGAGCCCAGGGCTGTCTGAACAGCATCATTCTAACCCAGGAGTGGACATTCCATTTGACAAACAGGCTCCTTTCTCCTTGCTCCAACTATTTCTTTCATGTTACAGCACAGTCACCCTAGCCCTTGTTTTTCCTGAGGATGAATCACATCATATGAGAAGTTAAATCATCACCCAAGAGTAGCAGATTTAGCACAGAAGGCAAAATGTAATCTCTTTGAAGCCAGACTCTGTATCAAAGGCCTCATCCTCTGTTTCCTTGTGGTTAAATATCTGGAACATGAAATTCATAAACAAAACAAAGCAAAAGCTAACATTTTACTTTGTGCTTTAAGCAGCTTCCCCTTTCCCACTCTGCAATAGGTTCTTGTACCTGAAGCTCTCTGCCAGGCTTTGCCAGGCTTTTATCCACCAGGACTGCAGGAAACTGTCCCTGTCATCACCTGCCCTGCACTCTCTCCTCATCCCAGCAACCCGGAACTGCCACCTGCAGCCACCAGTCTCCCTGTCAGCCTCTGCCATGCTCCTGCTTCATCACTGGGGATTAAATATTAATCTGAGGAGTGATGATGCCCACATGGCAGCACCTGCCAGACACACTCTCTCAGTGTGCTCATGGTCACGGGGACAAAAGCCAGTGGCAATGACCACAGAGAACACACTGGTGTATTTTTAACTTGTGTCCCTGGGGCAGGTTTACCAACAGGCTGTGCTTTGCAAGATGCTCTGCAGGGATGGTGCATGCAAGGGCTACATTTTGTGAGTGCTCCAGCTCATGGTCTCTCCTTCCCACGGCTGCTGGAGCAGTGGTTACCACCTGTAACCTACTGAGCTGTAGCCAGGCTGTAGGCACCCAGGCTGCTATCTGGCAGGTCTCTGCCATGATGTACTTTTTTCCTGTGTGTCAGATCCCAAGAAACACCATGGCCTGGCAGATGGAGCATCCCACGGGATTACTCCATGCTGGTGGCATGCTCAGGAAAAGCACTGTTTGTGCCGAAAAGTCCAGGGAGGGAGAAAATTACCTCCTACTCAAAAAAGAGGCTTTTGCTGTGATTAGGAGGGGTGGGTAGGAAGCTCTCTCTGGGCTCCCTAATCCACACGGACAGATGTAAAGCAGAAGTCACTTTTGAACTGGGCAGGTTGTAACCCCTCTCCAGGGATGCCTCAGCCAGGACGAAGCCTTCAGCCTCTCCACAGGTCTGCTCCCACCTCCAAGACAGGGCTAAATTCTCCTCCCTCTTCACACAGCACACAGGAGGCATGAAGCTGGAGGAAAGCACCGTGGAGGTCATGGAGAGCGGCTGCAGTGGCTGGCTCAGTGACCCATCCCCATCCCACACATCCAGTGGGGCTGGGGCTGCACAGAACTGAGCCCTCCTCACTCACCATCCCATCGACGGCGTGATCTGGCCGACTCCACCGGGGGGCAGGGGGTAGAAACCAGGGATGTCTGAGGTCTGGGAAGGACGGTGCACTCCTGCAAGAAGGGAGAAGGAGAGGAGTTGAACCTGGCACTGCATTCCCTGACTCCCAACCCCCTGTCTGCTTCATCTATGAACCCTTGTGGACAGCTATATGAAATGGCTATCTGCAAGTGGCAGGATGGTGTTTCCTGTGGTTCTCTCTGTGGGGGTGTGGTGGGTCATCCACATTGCTGCAAAATCACAAACATAAGGAGGGGGTGGAGGAGGCATCTTGCTCTTGCACAAGCATCATAGCTGCCCCATGCCACCTGAGGCTGAGCAGGACCGTGCTTTGGTAAGGATCTGGCTGACTCCAGGCACCCCTCTGCCTTTCCTAGAGAGCCCACTCCAGTGTTCAGTCAAGGCCATTCCTATGCTCCCTCTCCATCAGTCATCTGCAGGACCCCCCATGAGCAGGCAGTGGGGATGCTCCAGCAGGCAACACTTCCAACTTCATTTTAAGCAATTTGAGTTCAAAACAAGTGTTCTGCGGCTTTGTGGGTGCCAAGGAACTGTGGAAGTGGGTATGGTGCCAGCTGGGAATTCACCCTTTGTATGGGGAATCCCTGTGTGATCTTCAAAGCTGCTGGCATGGGCAGCATGGCCAGGGGACACAGCTGCAGCATCGCTCCACTCGTTCCTATCTGGGCTGGAAAACATCCTGTGGTGCCTGGGGCTGCGGGTGGGACTCAGACAACCACAGTGCTACTGGCAAAAACAGCCTCCAGCTGACCCCTGCACTGGGAAACTGGAGAGGTGCTGGGGCACAGCATGGTGTAATGATGGCTGCTATCGAGCCTCAGACAAACACTGGGAACAGGGATTGTTGAGTGGCTGTCCTAGATGAGAAACACATGGACTAATTTATTGATGAGCTGCAAGCAATTGCAACTGGATTTTTCTCCTAGGTATATGAATGGTACCTTATTAATTAGGATTGACACCAACATATTCTAAGCATTCTATTAGGAGTCAGCTAAAATAAATGTATAACTGACCTGACAGGAATATGTAACCTAGTATGAGATTTGCTTCAAGTGGGACTCAGTGGTCCATGGAGGGTGAAACAAAACCAGCCCTGCACAAGGCAGCTGATGGAACATCCTCAGATTCGCACCCCCACCAATATGAGTTGTGAGTTGCGTAAGTCAGAGCACAAGTTATTCTTGCTGGCCCAGTGGTTGGGGCACCAGCCATTGACTCAGAATTCCTGCTTGTATTTCCTCATTTGTGTCCTTGGGCTACTGTGAGAAACTTTAAAGGGATGCTGTGAGAATGAGTATGAGAGTGAGTCTCAAGCGCTTACAGTGGGTGATAATGGCAGCTATTTCAGTGATGAAAACACAGATGGGACACATCCAGGATGAATACAGAATAAAACCCTCACCCCAGCAGTGTAGGGATAAGGCATGTATGATTACAGCTGCACCACAAAGGCAAGACCCAGCTGAGGATGATGGGCTGAACCTTTCCTTGAATAGCACATGGGGCAGTCCCTGGACAAACAGACTCCCTGTGTCTGTAGAAGTACAGGTGAAACGGGAAGGGAAGACTGGACAGTGCCTGCACAGAGGGTGCAGGTGGGCAGCCCAACAACAGTGTCCTAGAATGACTGACCCACCACAGAGGTGAATGCTCAGGGACTGCTCCAGTGCCTCCACAGAGGAATATAATAACCAGCTCTGCCCTTGGGCGAGTGCTCTTGTGTCACTTAAGGTTTCCCAGCGAGTCCCAGAAGGCAGCTCACAGTGAGTGGCTCCCGGAGGGGCAGAGCTCTGCCAGGTACAGCAACGGCAGTGTGGGGGAAGGTGTGCTGGGCTGCTTTCTTGCACACTGTCTCAGTGTTTCTCAGCCACTACATGAGATTTCAGTAGGTTTATTCTGTTAATTCTTCCTATTTTTCTGCTGAGTTTATTATGCTCTGATGGCTGACAAGCAATGTGCTGCCTGGAATTCAACCAGGATGTGCCTGGATATCTCTTACACCAGACCTAAACCCTACCATCAGCATCCTTGATGAGTCCAGAATGTAGCCTCCAGGTTCAGACCAGGGATTATTCAGTGGGTCCTCCAGCCAAGAGCATCCTCAATAACCCATTGTTTTATCAATGATGTTAACTTGGTGAAGCTGATGCCTCTGGGACAGTTTGGATCACTCCTGGGTGGAGGCCCTTGCCCAAATCACACCAGTTGGTTTTGTGCCTCTGTTTTGGCACTGGTTTTTGGGGCTCTGGTGGACACTGACCTCCTTCCTGAATGCAGTTTGACACAAAACTGCCAGTTTGCTTGCTTTCCCATGAAATCAAGCCCAGGTTTGTGTAGAAGCCTGGGTAATCTGAACAGATGTTCTTCACTAATGTAAGGTTGAGGAAAGTTTGATTTTACACTCAGTTTGCCAGAAAGCCATGAAGAATGATGAAATGATGGACTGGGCTGAATTCCTCAACACATACTTGTATTTACATCTTTATTTTAGAGTACTGTACTTTCCTCCATAGCCCCATGAGCCAATTGATACAGCCTGGGCTCACACAGGAACACAAAAAGCCAAACTGGGTGACAACCACATATCTTGTGGCTATGGGGACACACGTGTCACAATCCAGTCAACTATCAGACACTGATCCTCTTTAGTCAAAATATTTCCTGTTTCAAGCATTTTCTCAAAATGACAACCTGACAACAGTTTGGGTATGAGTCAAAGGAAATATTACTTTCCATTTTCTGGTTGACTCTTGTGCATTGTCGTGCAGGCTCTGGTCTGGTCTCAGGGTTCAGGTCAGCTTGTACAAAGAACTGAGCACACTCCACCAGCAGGGCTGGCACTTTTGGTATCAAACTGCTCATATCCATGTCACAAAGCACTCCCAACAAGCTAAATAACCTCCTACTGCTAAGAAATGTCCCAGCTGACCAAAGGCCCTGATTTTTCTCATTGATTTGGGACCAGGAAGGTGCCAGCCTCAGCGGTCTCCAGCTCTGTCCCCCTCCCAGCACACAGGTCCCAGCACTGCCATTACCTTGTTTCTGGTTGATGTCAGCGGGCAAGTGGGGTGAGTGGGAGCCGTGGCTGAAATGGTCGTTGCTGTACGGGATGAGCGGGGTGAGCGGGTGCACTCCGTGCGACGGCTGCACGACAGGAACTTTGTTGGACTGCAAGACACAGGGATGGACAGGGCTCAGAAGTCATCAAGATCCACCAGCAAGGAGGGCCAGTGCCCTCTGCAGTCCTGCTGTTGCCAGCAAGGCTGGGAATAACTAAAATTACACTACACAAACACTAAACAAACACTGCAGCATCCTACCAAAAAATCCATAAACAAAGCAGGAAAACCAGCTGGAGATGATTTCTTGGATAAGTGGAAAACAGATCAAACTAGCATGAAGTTTTCAAAGTTCAGAACTTTTTTCCCATTCATTTCCAGTATCTTTTATTCCAGGATGAATGCTTCAAGTGTGTTGTGTTATCCAAAGCAGAGCTGTAGTTCTTTATCCTGGACTACCACAGGGTCTAAATCTGGACTTTCACAGTGAATCCTTCATATTCCCTGTGAAAGTCATGTTTGGGCTTTATTAATCAGGGCTCTCATGGAGAGACAGATACAGGATCACAGAATCATTTAGGCTGGAAAAGACTTTATAGAGATCATCAAGTCCAACCATTAACCCAGCACTGCCAAGGCCACCATCAAATGCTGAAGGTAATGCCTTTGAAAACAGGATGTGGTCACCAGCTAGCCCTTGGGCTGAAATCCCTGTTGGACCCAGCTCCAGGGCTGGAGGAGGACCAGAGGGAGCTGAGGTAATGCTGGAGATGCAAAAAAATCCAGGAAAAGTAAGCAAATAAAAACCTGTCTCCTCTTGTAGCCTCTCCTGGTTCTGCACAGCATGGCTGTCAGAGGCCAGCACCTTGGAAAAGGCACTTTTGGTGAAAGCAACAGGAAGTTCCTCATGTGTCTGGGAGCAGAGAGAGGGGAAGCTGTTTGGAAGGGCTGCAGAGGAACACAGACAGACACACACACACACAGACACACACACACACAGACACACACACACACAGACACACACACACACAGACACAC